AATGAAAAATGTGACAATTGTGCATCTGTAAAGATTTTGGGAAAAATTTCTAAAAAAATTAGGATGTACTCAATCTAGTCCCCTTTATCCACCCTTGATCATAATCACATTTCTAACCAGAGTGAGAGCGAGCGATACTTGCATAAATATTCAGATGATGCTAAAAATCTTGACGTACTGGGCATGAAGGCGAACCTTCAAATTTTACGAACTTAAACGAGCCTAGACGAGACTTAAACTTAAAAAAAAATGTTTTCTTATTTTAAATGTTTAATCATTTTATAAATCATTTAATCATTAAAATAATACATATCAAACATCTAAAATTATAAAATACAATATTTACTTAATAATTCTTACCATTAGTCGATTATACAATTTTTCAAGTTTTCCGAGATACAAAAATTAAAATATTTTTCATATTTTCAATTTCAACTAGACAAGTCATACTTGATAGATTTATAAAAACTTCATACATGCTTTTTGAATTTGAAACAAAATAACAAGTCTCAAAATCATAATTACATAACAAAGATAGTATCACAACTTAAATCTTATTTAACTTTTGTACAGATTAAATCTTTTAAAAACTTGAAATTAAAGTCAAATGAATTTTTTTTTAAAAAAAATATTAATAAGCTAAAGTCGAATAAAAAGACTTTTAAAAAGGAAAAAAAAAACTAATAAAGCGCGCCTGTAAAACGAAAGAGATGAATGAAAAATTCAATCGTTTAGAAATTTAAAAAAAAAAAAAGCACCAGGCGCGAAGCATGACATTTTGCTCAAACTTCGAGAGTACACGAACTTTTTAGAACACTAGTTTTAGATAATTTGAGGCTTGGCGTGACATTCGTTCATTCCATTATTGCTTGCACTATTCTAGTTCTTGGTTGGTATTTGAAGGTACAATTTTTGACATCAACATAATTAAATATTTCTTCAATTTTGTTGGGGCTTGCTTGGGAGGGTTTTTATTTTTTGTCAGTGTTGACCATTTTGGATGGAACTATTTATAATTGGGGGCTTCTGAAGACTTATAGAACTTTTTTTTAAGTGATGAATTTTGTTTATTTAGTGGGCTTTTATAAATTTGTATGGAATTAATTAAAGTTTTTCATAGACTCACACAGACTTTAACTTTAAAACTTTTATAAAATTTTGTAGAATTTAAAAAACTTTTGAAAACTTTCATTAAAAATAAATTCACATGGGTCTAGTGCAACATTGTAAAGTCCTCATATATGAGATGGCAGTTCCCACAATTTTATTTCTCCTCCCCATATAATAAATAAATATTTTTAAAAGAATAAAATTTAAATCACCTTAATTAAATAAATAATAATCAAAACCAATATGACATACCTTTGAAAAGTAAACAAGAAATCAATATTTTTAAAATAAATTATAAATTAGCTCTTTTTATATAAAATCTTATAATATGATTGAACATAATTCTATTTAGTTCTGGTTCCAAGAGAATCAAATCGAACAATGAACCAATGTTATTTTTGTAATGGAACCAAATAGTTTTTTTAAAGATATGGAATCAAATTGGAACCGAACCATTCGGTTCTGGTTTAATTTGATTTGGTACTAGTTTCATTTCTTAAATTTTCAAATTTGCACCATATCCATAAGTTAATAATACATACCTAAATAAAAAATAAAAATAAACATCAAACAGTCAACAAATTCAAATTATCAATCATCAAGGAATAATGCTAAATGTACACAATCTTTTACACCTCTCTCACATGGAGGGGGGCCCACACATAATAAAATAATCGTGGACCCCTCTCCATGTGAGAGAGGTATAAAAAATTGTGTAAAAGTGTGTGTGTACATGTAGCATTACCCATCATCAAGATCACAAAAATTCAAACTAACAAACAAAATATAATCATTATTTGAATACACAAATTAATTTTCATTTCCATACAAAAGATTGTCTAATAATTAATGATAATGAATACTAAATTAATTGCACCAGTTTGAATGACACACTTCGACAATAAATGTTGAATTATGCAAAACTTTTCCAGTTCATTTTTACATACAACCATTAACCGTTTAATACTCCATAAATATTTATTGAATTTTCCTCTACTTGTGAAGAACTCAAATAATTTATCAAACAACCAACTTGAGAAAATAGTTTAAAGGCTTTTTAAGTGACTGACGAATTCCCTTTTTTGATCTTAAAAGATTCTCCTCCACTGATGCGATGAAATGTGATGCTGACATGTTGTGACGTTGTATAAATTGAAAAGGAGTGAAAGATAAATGATTTTAAATGAATACAAAATTAAGGTATACACAATTAATGTACTGTCTTCACTCAATACAAAATTAGGGTTTCAACTAGGGTTGAGTTGGATTGGTTTTGAGTTCAACCCAAAACCAACCCTACATGTTCGATTTGAGAAACCCAACCCAATCTAAACCAACCTAACTCGGTTTGGTTTGGGTTGGATTGATTGGTTTGAACTTGAGTACCTGCATATTATTCTCATTGAATAAAATGAATTCAACCTAAATACTAAAAATGTTAAATTATCCAAATTCAATACAAAATCTCATCCTTCAATCCAAATGTTTAGTCAAAAATCACGTCAAAAAATCGAGTCGAGAAGTTGAGGCACAAGCAGTAATGAGAGGCGAAAGAGACGTGAGGCAGATGAGAATTTTGGTCATTAAAATTTTAGGTTTTTCGTTTTAAGTATTAATTTTCTTTTTAATATTTTTTAATTTATTGGATTTGGTTGGATTTGGTCGAATTGAGTTTTAGGTAACACGGAACCTAATCCAACCCAACCTAAAAATTGATTTCTTAACCTAAACTCAACTCAATTGAACTAAAAAATAATCCAAACCGGTAGGTTTGAGTTGAGTTGATCGGTTTTACTGGTTCGAATTGATTTTTGCTCAGCCCTAGTTTCAACTAATCAATATATATATAAAAAATAAAAATAAAATTTGTGTTTGGTTCTCGATTCCAAAAATAGATGGTTCTCCATTCGAATAAGCAAAAGCATTATTATTATTATTATTTTTTATTTATTTATTTTTGTATAAAATCGAATCGAATCGCTCGATTTGATTTCAATTCTGGTTTGGTTTGGTTTTGACATTTTATCCACCCCTATCTTGTAATTTAATCACAAATAGATCTTTTTCATATAAAAAAAGTAGATGCGAGAAGAAAAAAAGTTACAAAAATCTTTATTTACAATTTTTTTTTATAGAAAATGGATATATATAATAAAAAACATAAAAAATATAAACAATATTATTTTATTTTTTATTTTTATCATGGCTCTGATGTCCGTAAAAGGAAAAATGAAAGTAAGGTATTGAAAGAAATAAAAAAAAATATTAAATTTTAATTTTTTTCAAAGTCTCCAAAATTCTTGGGATAAGTAATAGACAAATTTTGAGATTTTATATTTTCATACTTTTTGCTAAAAAATTAGTACTCTAGAAAGCATCCCCATGAGATGACTCTTTATTTTAAAGAGTCGACCTTTAAATTATGTTTCAATAAATTTTTTAAATTAATATTTTAAAATAGAGAGTGAATTTGACTTTCAAATTAATTAAATACATTCAAAGTGTTTCAATTTTCAATAGACGAAAATAATATAATAATTTGATGAGAAATTGGTGAAAATAAAAGATAACAAAAAACAATAAATATTTTTTTAAAGTTAAGTGTTATACGAAGAGACCGGTGGAGTACTTAAAAATTTCATTCTTTTTATTTATAGAACTTCTCTAAATTGCAAAATATACTCTCTAAAAATAAAGACTTAGAGATGCTTTAAAAATCTTTAAAATTCAAAGACATTTGAATAACTCAAAAACTTATCAAAACTTCTAAAAAGTTTTAATTAAATACACCTTGATTTTTAAAGCCTTTTTAAAAAGTTTTATGACGTTTCGATTGAATATACCGATGATTTTATACAGTCTCAAAAAGTCTACATTGAATAATTCTAAACTTTTTGAATCCCTAAAAATCTTCAAAAGTCCCAATTAAATACATTTCTTAATGTGTCGGTATTCTTTTTTTTTTTTTTTAGACAACTAAAATCTTAATCCTTGTTTGGAAGAAACTTAAATCTAATTTTTTTTTTTATAGAAATCAACAATTAATATTAACCACTTATAAGATCTACAACTTTTCAATCACACATTTTATTAACTTTTAATGAAACTTATTGAAAAATTTAATTTTAATTCCCATAAGGGCTTAAAATGTTAAATGAAAATATATACTATCTTGTCATAATTCAAATTTTATGTCAAACATTATTTGTTTTCAATTCATTTTTTTGTGATTAAGAAATAATAAATCAAATGAAAAGGTTGCTTAGGATGTACTTTTATTCCAATAAAACTGTCACCAACTCGGTCCATCCTTTTCGGTCAGAGAGATTTGAGTGGAAGAGGTCCCTCGACCCTACGCTAGATTCTAGATAGGAAAGGGTCCACTAGCAGCGGTAAAACTACACCGATATTCCACGATTCCATCCCTTCCGAAAGTCATTCCTTGATTATGGCCCTCTCTCCTGCCCCACATCTACGCGTGTCCAGCTGGCTACCACATTCGTAATCGTATCAATCTTTCTCTATTGGAGAATGCTATTTCTACTTTATAAAACTGCCACTAGTATACATTCGATACACAATCCTTTCACGCCTGTAAGAGATCCATAATTGAACCCACATTGTAAGACCCAAACATGTGTAAGAAAGTTATGTATCAAGGTGTAAGTGTAGCAAGATTCCGTACTTTATTTATCAACTTTCAGATCCCTTCTTTTACTTTTTCCTTTTTCTTTGAAACTTACCCTAGCAAATTTTTTCTTGCTAAATAGCATAAAAATTTTAACATTTTAATCCAATCCAACTTTTCAGCTATTTTTCTCGAACAAGTCCATTCCAACTCCCAAAGTCGAGGTAAGAAACATTTTAAGTTAAAATTAGATGGTCCAAAACTAGAAAACTGCCTTGTCTTCAATCCACAACAATGACGACGTGCCAGCAAGCTGCAACGTTTTTGAAAACAAACGTAAAACAGTACAAATAATAAATAAATATAATTATAAACGAAAAAATGATAAACAGTAAAAAATAACGAAATACCTTAACCCGAGATGAATACACTGCGAAAACGTGACGGCGAACGGATTATACGCCAATCACGATAACGGCAAACAGGACGGAACACGTAACGCTGCAAACGCACACGGGGAACGAGATTAAATTGATTTCAACAAACTTAACAAACCATCACCAAATTGTAAGTCTCAAAGAACATAAGAAGTCTGAATAAATTTTGTTTTAAATTTGAATTGGAGTACGCAGATTTGATTAAATGAAATTGGTAACATCCTGTCCCTTTTTAGTTAGATTCTTGTGCAGTATGGATGTGATGAAATGTCCAAAAGTGTCGTTCATTTTGCAAATCATATGTACACAACTGAGTCAATTTCAGATCCTCCTGTTCCCAAAATTGCTTGTGTGTTTTGACTGCCCGGAGCACAAAAAACCGCCGGAAATTTGACTTCATGACCACCGAGATTTGACGCCTTCGCTGGAAATTACTGAAGAGAAAACTTCTTTTTCAAAATTGTATCAACAAAACAAACCTGTAACCAAAAGTACTCGACTTCTCAGAGATCCTCGGCTTTGGACATGATAGACAAACGGCTTGGACGCGGCTGGAAATCGAATCGGCGGCGCTGCTGATGAGATGAAGGCCGTATCAAAGCCGCCAAAGCTCGCTTAACCAAATCACCTTCGACAGTCCCGATCCGCACCAGGGAATTCGTCATCGCCGATCTCCTAGCGTTCAACCGGTAGGGCGAATATGATATGGAATTATTATTCCCACCACCACCACCAAAGTTATTCTTATGCAAAGCGCACCTGAACGATCCGGGATGCGTGGTAGGCGAGCACAAGCAAGTCCTCTTCTGCAAAGAAATACCGTTACCATTATGCTTTCGTACCACCGGATTCTGTGGCGATACAGCCATGGAACGCCGCGGCGAGCCAGATCTGTTGATGGAGAACCTTACGGATGGCGTCGGTGACGAAGACGGCAGAGCGTGTAGGTTCACGCGCGTCGGAGAGGAAGACCTTTGATTCTGGAAGAAGCCACTCGGTGAATTCGAAGAGCACGTAAAAGACGACGATAACTCCGACATCGACATCGCCATCGCCGAATTGCAGAACCGACCGGACGGCGAGATCGACCGCCGCAAAGTCGACGCTATTGGTAACACCGGTCCTCTTGATTTCCTAGAAGACGTAGACATTTCTATGGAACAAATGAGACTACTCGCAGAAAGAGAAAGAAAGAATATATTATATTATATTTTTCTAAAGGGGCCCGAGGCTCCTCAGTTTGGCAAACCTATCTGGTGAAGAAGCGCTAATTTATAGGAGGAACGGCGTTGGGTCACGTTGAGAATAATAGGAAGTGCAAGGGTAATATTGGAAATCGAAAGCCTAATTTTGTTTTTAGAGAGGGTCCACATGAACCAATACTTTGGAATTGTGGACTTTGATCTACGGCTTAGACGCATTTGGAATAACCGCCTACTGCAGGGGAAGAGTAGATTTTGCCACGTAGTTAATAGATGGTGAATGTGGTGCCATCATATTGGTTGGAAATTTTTGAACCACTTATATTGCCTCTTGGATGTAAATGTAATGTATGGCCAAAAATATCATCAATTTTCAATAATTTATAACCTAGGAAATATTATCCAATGAATAGGTAAAACATGTTTGGCAGAGCTTATAATAAGTAAAAGTTGTGACTTGTTTGCAAGTGATTTTCATAATCAATATTTTTCAAACTTATTTTTAACCATACATTCTTTCAATAAAATAATTTTATATAAAATTTATAATTTTTTCTACTTTTTAACCTCGAACATTTTTCGAAAATTATTTTTTCACAGAATCACTTTTCAAAAATCAACATAACACAAGGTCCAAAAATTAAAATGTTCAATTGCGTGTTACCTAGAGAAATAACATAGAAAAAGAAAGTAAAGAAATACTCATTATTTAATTAAAACCCAGTTTGAGCCCTATTATTTGTGTAAAATGTATTTTTAAATAGTAGATTGATGAAAAATATGTAATTAAAAATGAAGAATTTTTTTTGAATTGTGTGTAATATTATTTTATTGAAAAATGTGCTGTTGAAAAGAAAAAAAAATATGTATTTTAAAAAAAAATGAGAATAAAAAGAAGTTGCAAGTTTCAATGTGAAATTTATATCAACTTGTGGTACAAATACAATACAGGGAACGGTGAATACTGTATTTTGGCTTCATGGACCGTACATCTAACTAAAGACGAAAATTTCAAGAAAATTTTTCCCACCAAAAGTTAATTTGTTTATTTTCAAGTTAAAAATTTATTTATTTCGACATAAATAGATCTTAATTTCAAAATAAGTGATTCATTTAATTTTATTTTTAATTAAAAATTATTTATTTTATAACTTACACATGAATTTGTATGAAAATTACCGAGTATGAGTACTTGAATAAGTGGCAAATTGTTTCGATATCTCGGATTCAACTGCAATCACACGACTAATTCCTCTCCATTTTCATATAGATACGAAAAATTAGAGTGACTAAATTTTTTCTAAAGTAATAAGCAAGATCAATTGAATTTTTATTATTAAATAGTCTATTACACAAATTAATCTACACGAAGCAAAAATAAAAAAAATAAAACACAGCTAGGTACCAATTTTACAAAAATAAAAGGCATATGCACTATGCTATAAGGTAATATTTCTACCTGTACATAAGAGGTTGACAATCTCTCGCATGCGTGTGGAATCCGCATGTTTAAAAAATTTTTTTAAAAAAAAGTGGATCCCTCATGTGAAAGGTTGTCAACCTAGATTGTCAAACTCTTGTGTACAAATAGTATGGTTCATTGGTTAAACTTAGCCAAACATGCTTGTAGCTTCTTTTATATAAAAAATTAAATTAATTATTTGTGTGTGTTTATTTAATTAGTGCAAGTTTGAATTAGCTTGGGTTTGTGAAGATATTTAATTGAGTTAATCTTACAATATCATAACAATTATGAATTGCATAATCTTAAAATGCTTTAATCCTTCCACAGCCACTTCAATCAAGACTTATTATAATTGAATCATTTTACTAAGTCCACTGCTTCTACACAGAACGCCATAGCATAAATTTCCTTAATCAAGCGGACTTATATTACACAACTTCTGCCCTCAAAATTCCCATTTCCATTTAACTAGTAGAATTTGAGCATATACAAGTAGCATTCAATTTAGCTCTTCTTTTCCCATAAATTACACTCTTCGACTACGTCATGGCCTCTAAAGAGGTTGTTGACCTTGATTTCTGCACGAGTGACATAGCCAACATATTTCGGCTCCACTTACGTGTATGGCTCTTGCACATTTAGACAATCGTTAAAAGTACGTGCCATTGGTGGAGGTGAGGGAGACGATCGTAAACACTCCAACGGTCAAATCAATCAACTTGTATAGATATGTTTGATTGTGGAACATGCAGAAGACATGAGCCACAATAATTTTCAGGCGCTGTCGGTTAGAAAGTAAAATGAGATAGAACAATATTACTTAAGTGTGTAAAATTGCATTAAGTGTGAACTTTTATATTAAAAGATGTGAAATGATTACCATTGTCATGTGCATCATTTCATCAGTACTAAGCTCACGGTATTAAATGACTCTGAAAAGCAGCCACCCTATGACCTAGGTTGAAATTTGAAGAGTAGAATCACAAGTTGACTCGATAGAATGACTGATGCAAAAATGTCACATCAATGAATCATAAAAGATTTTATATGGAATATCTTGTAGAGGAGGTGCATCATATGCTAAAGCCTATTTATTTCGAATTGGTGCTGCAACATGTCGACCACCTCACTTCGTCCACACTGTTCGATCTCTAAATGAGGGTTCGACAAAGTGCATCACTTCAACTACTTGAGAGCTTCGAATAAGTCAGGTAGGGTACTAATATGGAGTGTGGGCTTGGGTTTGCTCATTACGTGGCTCCACTTTAACGTTTCTTAAATTTTTGTTGGATGAGGCGTAACAATAATCTCCAAGTTTAATATAAATATTTATATAAATTATAATGCATGAAACTTTAGGTTGAAGTTCATTACCTGTGTGTGGCGTTCTGTCATTTGAGAACTGATGCTTAGCGTGGAGTACTTTGTGTTGTCTGAAGATGTGTTGTTGGGTAACTTTTAGCTATGAAGAGATAACGTAACACAATTAACACGACTCGTCCCGGATCACCATAGTAAACCCGAAACATGACGTACGCTGATAATAGATACTAACTAAGAGCTTGTTTGAGAGTGATTAAAATCAGATTAAAATTGAAAATATAGCCTTTAAAGTTGATTTTTATTAGACGAATGGGACCCAATAACGTCTATATTTTCAATTTTAATTGGATTTTAATCCTTACCAAACAAGCTCTAAATGCCATATCCACCACCAAGGCTAGCTATGAATTACTACAAAATGTGCCAAAAACAATTGTTCATGAAAAATATAATGCAATGGGCCCAAATAATTACTTCGTGCTTTATCAAATGTATCATGTCACTTAATAGGACGTGTGGCTACCACTTTGAAATCATCATGCTCCTCTAGCTATAAAGAACCAACTGCTACCCGTAGAAAAAATCGTGGGAAAATATGTGTTGATAGCTCAGTGAGTGGAAAATTTGGAAATAGTTATACCTTGTCGTTTATACATATTTATCAAAAATCGAGTTCGTATTATTTAACAGTTCACAATATAACATTAGATATTAATAATCAAAACATGAGTCATTCTCATAATCATGATATGATCATCAACTGAAATCCATACCATCATCTCATCATATCAATGTACCAGGAAATCTACTGTTAAAAATGTACCATCTAACTAAAATCTGTAATATGGTCATACGCTCGTAGACTGTCCCTCGGGCTAAACACTCCTGACACCGGCATCAGGCCCCCTCAGTAAACGGAAGTGGGTCTCAAAGATCTCTCATAATCAATACTAGAACACGATCAATGCCCCTCGGTAAACTATATGTACACGATCAAGACCCCTTCATCCACAGTCAAGACCCCCCAGTGTAGTATAGAATACGGCCAGACCCCTCAGTGAACTAAAATAAGTATATAATCACGGGTACTTTTCTGATCGATCTCAATATCACGTATGTCTCACATTCTAATTCACAAACAATCAATATACAATCTTTAAAATTTCACATATAACATAGTGAAAGAATATTTCCACATGAATCCTGTAATTTGAAAAATAATTCACACAATTGCATAAAATGTATAATAGTATTATAGTTAAAGAACATTTCCATACTAATCATGTAATTGAACTAATAATCCGTAGAATATCATAAAATGTATAATAGTATAATTAATTTAACAATACTCGAAAAATAATTAAGTTTTTCCACTCATAGATCTATGGAAAGCAATCTGGTTAAATTTACGAGTATTTCCAAACTTTCACGTCAATGCCTGAAATAACGATATAGCAACTCAAATTAAAATCCGAGAAGTAACTAATGCAAATCCACCACGTAATTCTTCGACTTCTATGTTTATTCTTACGCCTTTATTTCTCGACTTTTCCTCTTTTCAATTATTCACCAACAAATCACAACACGATTAAATCCATTAAATCACTACCTTATACATATATTAATCCAATACCTAACTTTCAATATTTATCATATAAGTTCATTCAAGCATTTAAAATCTGAAAATCAGTTGTTGACAAAAATAGCACTAAATTCCAAATTATTGACTTGTGGCACCAGTTTCCGTATATTAAAAACTGTTTCCAAACCTATCGACAAAAACAACACTTTCTGGACAGAATTTCAAAAACAACACATGTACATAAATTTTGCACGAAAATTGCTTTAAAATACCAAAATTCAACCTCAACTCCATATCTCACTTTAATACATCATAAATCAAGTATTTTATATCATGTACACACAATAAATCAAATATTCAAGCTCTAATTTGCAAACCCATTTCACATTTCTTACACTAATCTTCCAATATATATTTTTCTACTTGTTTAATACCAAAGATATATATCAATAAACTTTAATTCTTGCTTAAATTTGAATATAAACAATTATTCATAAATCCTAAAAATTTAATTAACATACCTCTTTAAAGGAAGGAGATGTTGAAGAAATGAACTTGTAAAAGTCGGCATCTACTTCTGTCTTTTTCCCTTTTGCCCTTTACTTTTTTCTTTTTCTTTTTCTTTTCCTTCTCCTTTGGCCCTTTTCTCTTTATGCTTCTCGATTCTTCTCTGCTCCCCTCCATGAAATGAGCATCTATTCAATTAAATAAATGGGAAAACAATGCAATAATTAATATGAGTCCTCAACTTTGGTATAATTTGTAAATTAGACCCTTACGATACTATGATCACCAACTAGTCCCAACAAATACCATTTGCTTATAATAGTCCCCATGAAATTATTTTACTTAATTTAAGTCCTCATTTGACTCTGACTTTGACCAATTGAATTTTTGACTTTGATTATAATGAGTGGGGTGTAACAACAATAGTCCACCAAGTCAATGCTTGAATATTTATATAACGTGTGAATTTACGATGTTGATGGTGTGTGAAGACCTTTTGTGGCAGCTTATGTGATGTAAGTGATGTAGAGTTGAAACCTTACTTAGGCAGCTTTTGATAAAGCTGAGTTGATGTAGAGGCGAGACCTTTGCTTAAAGGCGATTGATGATCCAGTTGTCCAAAAAACGATTGGAAATGAAAGTGTAAAAGTGAGTTAAGATTGATGAAGGTTGCTGCAATCTCCCAATCAATTATCAAATAATTTAATAAGAACATTATTGTAAATACATAGTCAATTGTTTTCGGAACGATACATTCTACATGTCCATTAAGTGACACTAAGTTATCGGACCTCTTGATTTAAAATATTTAATCACTTAATTGATACATATAATGACCATAGCAATCTAGATGAATATCATCAACCTTTTTTTTCAGATCACTTCATAAAAAAATTAAAGTGTGTTTCGCTTAAAACAAAATAAATTTTATATATGTTTAGTACGGTTATTGGATATGATACTCTACAAGGCATCGTATTAGAGTATAAATCAAAGATTTCCCTAATGGTATAGTTAGGCTATGATTTATATGATTATAAAAGCAAAACAGTAATTGGTGCAATACCTCCTAACTTTGATTGGTTTTGTGCAACACCCTATAACCTTTCGTTTTGATGCAAAAGCTCTCAATAATGTACATTAATTTACGTTCATTTGCTTCATTTCTCCATCACAAAGTACCAACTTTCTTCATTTTAACAGATAATGTTTCAAAAAAAAAAAATTCAGGGGCCCACCCACCCCTTCAACTCTGGGACCCCCTATTTCGATGGACTAGCTCCGCCACTGATGTCTTGTGAAGGTCAAAATGAATAAAAACACCAAGGGTTTTTTTTCACCTCATCATCTTCCTTCTCTCACTGAAAACTCAGAAATGCTAAAATTATCCTCATATTGACAAGTTAGCATTGGAATCTTTTTAAGGGAATTTTTTTGATGTTGTTGTAATTGTCCTTTCACTAAACAATCTCTTATTAATGTATAAACATAGATCAATCTACTTTGCTAACTTCTGCTGCTCTTTATAAGTAACGTGTCAGTAACTCTTGCTGTTCTTTTTTTTTAACACCTGTGTTTTTCAAGAGTAAATAGGAATTTTTCGTATCATTGCTTTGGATATTTCTTCCAATTCATATTTTCGATTGAACTGATACTATCGTGATTCAACTGTTATAAATTATAAACGATTGTTCATTTTTTCCTCAATTCTGCTGCATAGGCAATTTTACTAGAACAAATAGAAACGAGACAACATACACAATCCATTGTATATTTTGCTGTGTCCTCTAAAAACTACGAAAACAAAGAAAAAAGATATTTGTCATAAAAAGTTGAGCTATTAGGACGGGTTTTTGAATTAGCTTACCCTCGTGGGATTTTTACCCTCTGTTCTAGTATTGTAGCACATTTGTTGTCTAGGGCATAAGAAAAACGATGACTTAACATCATCACATGTTAATAGAAAATCATACAAAGGACCATATCTGCAAATAAATTGAAATTATACGATCAATGTTTTGAACATAGAATTAGGCATTGGCCGAAGGGGTAAAAAATTAAGCCTCTTTTTGGCAATCAATATTTAAGTGATTTATAAATTCACTCAAAGTCAAATATTTATTTAAACAATAATGCATAACTAATACTCATTTATTATTTACACATTTCGTGTGACCTACTACAATTTTTCTTACTCACTTCGTCTCATTTATATTGTTGAATTTCCTTATTTTCTTGTCCAATTTATATAGACCTATTTCTTTATTGAGAAAGTGTTTGTTTTGTTCGTTTACTAATATACCATTATTTAATTTGCCGAGTCATAACAAATTCTCCCACTTAACCTTAAAATTGTACATATTTTAATTTATCTTCTTGGAGTTATCCAAGTACATACACACATTTCTCATTTTTTATTGGAAACACGGACGAAATTAATTTAATCATCATTTTTTACTGATAGGTATTGATAATTAAATAAGAGTAAATTAGAAATTTTCTTTGAAAAATTGATTTTTCCAATAACATCAAATAAAATTTCCTAATCTGTGTGAAAAACAAAATCATCATATATAAATGTGACAGTGGGAGTATTATTATTCCCTTTGTTCCAAATATATATATATATTTGCTTTCATATTCGCATAAATTAAGAAAACATAATTAATTTACTTGGAATAATAGACTTACTTACATTTTTCTTATATATTCATACGTCGGTTTAAATATGAGTAATTTATATTCATTAATAACAAGACACATTAAATAGAGGCATACTAGAACATTAAAAAATCAACGTACTTTCAATAAAGAAATGACCTATAACTTGAGACAAATGAAAATATAGAGCAAGTTTATCTTTATGGGATGTAGAAAGTATGATTGAGAATGTTGCAATAAAATACATGGATGAACTACTCGGTTCAACTATATGGAGGAAGTCCTGAGAAAAATCTTTTCAAAACAAGCTTTTAACGGAGACCTTGATAGTTTTAGTTAAAAACCAAAAGATTCACAACAAAACACGTCCATTTTTATCTCGTTTTCATGACTTATATTTTTCCAAGATTTTGGTGTACAATTAGATTAATTCTCCATCAAACTAATTGGTTCAATTTTGACAAAATTGACTACTATACTCAAGGCATTAGAAACTAAATTACTACGAGAGTCGTAAGTTGAGAACCAATTTTGCAATTTTGCTCGAAACTAACTTCGTGTCCAGTACAGGTCAAAGTAAATAATTAAATACAAATTTTCCCGAAACTAACTACGTGTTCGGTATAAGTTAAAGTAAATAATTATTTTTAACTAAACATTTGATAAAATTCATAATTTTTTTAACTGTATATTTTATTAATTTTTATTTAAAATTTATTAAAATATGATTTTATTCTGGGTTAAGTGCTCGTTTGGTAAAGATTAAAATTGAAAATATAGTCGTTATTGGATCTCACTCGTCTAATAAAAGTTAACAATAACAGTTATTTTTTCAATTTTAATTCGATTTTAATATCCACCGAACAAGTCCTAAGTCTTTTGTGATGGTCAGATATGTTGTACAAGCCCATTGTTCTTTACAAAACTGCGATTTGTTATGGTAAAAACCTGTNGACATTATTATGGATACATATATTCCTTGGGAATAAAGAATCTAACTGTTAAACATCCACCTGGTGTCTGACGTGCCAAGGAGTTGTCCAAATCCTAACTGTTGGCATATGACGTGTCAAGGAGTTGTCCAAATCATAACCGTCCAATTTCCCTTCTTTAATCCAACCGCCCCGATCGCCCAAAATCATACGTCTAAATACTGGCAGAACGTGGGAAACTGAAAACGGCATATGGCGCGCATGTTCCAGGACACGTGGATTTCTCCAATTTTTTACCAATAAGAATAGTCCACGTATACCTCGTTCCTTGTCCTTATCCTCCAAAATAGCTTCCTGCTCCAAATTAAAAGCAAATCCAACTCCTAATGGGAAGAAAACTTCAACTCTTGGCAACTCCGATAGAGCTAATTATACATAAAAAACAGAGAAATTAGGCCAAAGTTGAAGAAAATTAGCTGAAAATGGAGGTTTCAAGATTTGCACTGGGTCAATCTTCTTGTTTTTCTGTTGCTGGAATGGATGTTCATGCCCCAATATCTCATTACTCCGCTTCATCATCTTCTTTGTCAATTCCGTGTCGCGGAAAATCTGGATTTTCTTCGAGACGCGGAAAGATGTGTGGGTTTTCTGATACGGGTCACTTGGAGTATTACAATTACAACAATAAGACTTCGGGGATAATATGGTGTGGAAAAAAGGAAAATATTAAGGAAAGAGAGACGAAAAAGATTAAGAACAAATTGAAATTGCTCAAGGGATTGTCGAAGGATTTGTCTACGTTTTCTAACATGGGTTTTGGATTTAACTCCGATGAAGTTAAAGGCAACACGATTACGGTATGTATTACAAATAACCACGAATTTTATAATTTTATATAGTTTTTCCTGAAATGGGTTTTGATTGTATGTTGGAATCGATTGATTATAGGCTGTTGTAATTTCTTTTGTTTAAGTCACGTGGGATAATTTTTTGGAGCGTTGACAGTAATCTGTTTATACCGTGTTCAGGAAGCAGCTGAGTTATTGATGGAACAACTAGAGAAACTAAGGGCAGAGGAGAAGGAATTGAAGAAGAAAAGGAAAGAAGAAAAGGCTAAAGTAAAAGCTGAGCGGACGCGAACCCAGCTCGAATGTGACATGTCTTCAAGTTCTTCTTCTGAATCAAGCGACAGTGAATGTGGAGAGGTAGTTGACATGAACCTCCTTAAATGTGCTCAGGCAATCCCAAATCCAAATACTTTGCAAACAGTGGATGAAGAAGTAGCGTCACCCCCACTTAGCATGTCCACCCTAGAGGGGACGACGATTAGGTTACAACAGAGCATTTCAGAGTCAATCCCAACCGTTCTGAGCACGATAACAGAGGAGAAAATTGACGTCGGGAGGGGCATTGAATCATTCAATTCGGTTCAAGAAAGTTGTTCTAGAACAGATAGCTTATGTAGAGACGCGAGTGATGTTAGCTTAGTTAAAGTAGATTCTGCAATGAAAATCGAGGTGTGCATGGGTGGAAAATGCAAGAAATCAGGGGCTGCAGCATTATTAGAGGAATTTCAGAAGATGGTTGGGATTGAAGTTGGAGTTTCTGGTTGCAAATGCATGGGCAAGTGCAGAAGTGGCCCTAATGTGCGGGTTCAAAATAACTTCGAAGGAGTTCAAGCTGGTGGGGATGATGTTTCTGTCAGGGGTTCGACCAATCCTCTGTTCATTGGTGTCCGTCTAGAGGATGTTGATTTGATCGTCGCCAATTTGTTAGGTGATAACCAGCCAAATGAATTCGAATTCAGTGCTACTGCAGCAGCATCTTAATCTCCTATAATTTGGAAAAGTGTGTGTGTGCAGTTAGATTTGTGTTGGTTCTTGAGAGGTTGTCAGATTTTTTGGTTAGTACAAGTATATGGTAAATCGTGAATCGTGAATGCTATGTTAAAAAAAGTGTTCTTTGTTGTATTTGAAGTATTAAACTTATTTTACCTGTTATCGATTCTGGCTTTATTAATTTGCAGCCATCTAGATGTTGTGTATAACATGCTAGAGATTTATCTAATCGTAAATTTCGACCTATTTTTTCAGACAATAATGAACATAAAACATCATCTTGCTGGGAATTTAAGTGGCTTGCAGCAAAATTTTGCATCTGTACATTGAGTATGAACTGATTGTTTATATTCTGTTTCTCCTTGCCATAATCTATCGTTGAATTTCTTGATCTAGATGAATAGGAAAAATGTCCAAATCAATCCTCTTCTTCATTGTCTACTAAAGAACCAGCCGTTTTTTTTTTTTTTGATTGGTTAATGTGAATAGATATTGATCAAAAGACCGTACAACTACTTCAGACATCCCCAAGCAATGAATATCAAAAGATGTATCAACAATTACAAATCAAAGACCAATCCCTGAAGTTTCAAACTGAATCAAAACTTGATGATGATTGGTAAACATTACCTTGTATACATGTGTTTTGATCCTTCGAATAACTCTATCCACACGCGGTCGTAGATCCTCAAAGATTTTCGTGTTCCTAGCTGTTTTGGTTATTACTTCTATGAGTGTTACAGATTATTTACTAGGTCTTTTAGCGTATGATAACTGAGGAGCTCCAGGTATGCATTGCTTGGACTCGATTGGAATTTGGCCCTCTTTAGTTCAAAAAATTAGAGGCACGTAACTTCTAAAGCTAGGCACGGCCAAGATCATATAATTGTCATCTTGGTCTTCAGAAAATAAGAAAATATATGATTAAAATGCACCTAGGAATGTCAAGCCTGCTGTCCAGGTTCGGATGGCCTTACAGCTGAGCTAGGCATGGCTAGGCTAACCCATTGCCTATATTTTCTTTAAAAAAAGAATAATAAAATTGTATTGGCTTGGCCCTAGTTGGTCCAGGATGTGGCTATGGCCGTGCCAGCAGTAATTTAGACATTCCAGGACACTCAAAACCGGGCAACAGCAATGCCGTTTTGACACCCCCAAGTATACATAACTAGCTTGCATAAGGAGAGAGAAACGTTTGAGAAAAATGCCAAGAATCATACACCTAAAGCTGAAATCCATAAAAAGTTACAGTTTTGTAGGCATAGTATCAGCCAACTTGTGTTCATCATCTGTATTGAGTAAGATTTGACTCGATGTAAAGAATGCTCTAACTAATATTTTTCACGAATCATTCCAGTAACTAAATGCTACAAAGAATCAGGCCCTCGGCCACATTCCATATGTACCATCTGCACTAACGAAGAGTGCATCGAATTCTGTGTTTCTGCCCATACAGTATTCAGAGGTACTACTTCGATGGGGAAAACGGCTAACTTCTATTCTCACGCCAATGAGCACACCTTGTCTGGAATACAACAATTCAAAACTATATGTTAATAAGATATGAAGTTGGGTTAACCTGTACAAAATGGGAATTATAATTGATAAATCTAAAACCATCATAATCACAACCAGTATATTTGGTTTAAATCAGCGCCTTGCATTATCGTATTTATTCCAGTGGCTAGGATAAAGTTTAAACAGTGGGGGAGAACCATATACTTAAACAAAAGCTGCTCTATTTTAATTTTTTTTTCTTTTTAACTCTTTCCTTTTCGCTGTTCTGTTTTCCTATTTTCCTTCTCCTCCCACCCCTGCCCCAAAGAAAACAAAAGAAAGAAAAACACCAACCCCTACCAAAGAAAAAATAATAGAAAGACTAATCCAGGACAAGATACATATCACAAAATAGATAATGGGAAATAGCATAAAGAGGATACAAACTGTTAAAACAATGTGGCAAACGCGTATTTACCTTGGCTGGAGTAACTACAGCACAAGCGACTGTCATCTATATAAGTTGCTTGAAGACCCATCATCCACGACCCCACTGATGTATCCTCATGAGCATAAGCCTTCAAAGATACACTGCATGAAGGCAGCGTGGAACAATATTAAAGATCCGCAACAACCAGAGTTCTAATGAAGATAGAATAATCCCAACTCTTTCTGGTTTATCTTGATAGGATGACCTTTAATCTTAACATGACTGATAAGATTCTTGTTCTAAAAACATTGTAATATGGTAATAAAATCACGCTACAATAATATTCATCATATGTCTACCAAAAAACACCCATTACAAACATTTAGGTACCTGGCAGTCCGAAAACTTGTATACTAGCTAGATGGATTTAGTTGAAGGTCTTTTGACAATCAAAAATATGATTCCAACTTACATTCCGGTAACTAACCTGTTTATGTCAATATACTGAGCCAAATTCTTTGACAGTATAAAAATAGAACCAGCTGCATGGCGAAAGTACCTGAAAGAAATATTGATGTCACTTAACATATTAATTGGAACAAATTAGTGTTCTTGATACCCCAAATAATGGTTCCGCCTCCCAACCACATCTACCACAAAAAATGAAACAAATAACTTTGAAAATAGATTCGTCTTAAAATGAATCCACTATGTGTCATTGACTTCTAGTGGAAAACGTTAGGTGCCAATAACTTGAGAAATGTGTGTTTGTGAGCGCTTTCAAAACAAATCCTCAACCATGAAATTACTTTACACAAATGTAAATTCTGATCTGTAAAAAATTTCATACTTTTTCTTACATTGATTTACTTACGTTTTCTGATCACCAAACTTCCACCACTCAGGCTCGTACCACAGTTTTCCTCTGAAATTTAAACAATATTCAGGTATTTAAGATGGCGACTGATAAGTGAAAGAGTAATTTGTATACATAGTATTTCAAATGTCAAAATATGCAATTTCAAGCCATTTAGATAATATGTAGCATGAATAACAAGTAATGCAAATACAACAATGCATGCACAAAAAATACTGCATAATCCCACTAAAATAACAGTTTAGATGTAGTTCTGTAACAAAACCAAATTCTTTTACATGTAAAAAAAGGTAGTACATAATAAATACAACAGAAGACCTCAAAGTACTGAGAAAGGATGTGGCCAAGATTAAAGCACAACCATAGACATCTAAAGGAATGACCAAATATACATAGGAACAGAATATCAGTTATTATTTTTTTCATCACATTAATAGCATACATTTACTACTACTTGATGTAGAAAGGAGACTATTTGATGCCATGGTACCAAGTTCACCATGCAGAATTCCAAGATGGCTGCTAAGCAGGATAGGAGGAAGTGGTGTGTGGGCCAATAAAAGCACAGAAGTTAACAATAGCAATTACATGCCTACATTACTTGTAGACAAGGGGAAAAACAATTGCTAAATTGTTCAGGTGCCACTGGTAGTCTAACTAGCTCTAGCTAAAAAATATAGACAATGTAAAGTAAAATTGACTCAAATCAAAATTATTTGTATTACTCTTCAGCAACTACTTCCCCAGACTTCATGCATCCAATATAAGCACCATCTTGACCACGTCGACTCTGGAGAAGTTCAATCAATGCATCTGCCGAGAGAATAGAGCATATATGAGTGTATCAAGCTGTGATGTTCCCATGTTAATATGTTAATGTACAATCAGTCACAAGGATGAATATTTTTTAAAAGCATGAAGTGACGCTACACAACAAGCAGACATGTTTCAGAAAAAATATAAAATGTCAGCATTTACCAAAGTCAAGATCAATATTGTCATCAACTTTTACATAGAACTCAGAATTCCAAGTCTGGACTGCTGTGCTAAAGAAGAATTTTGCTTTCTTGGGCAATTCCTCTTGAGCCTCCTCATGACCATCCTAATAAAATAATAACAGACCTGTTAAGATTTTATAACTTGCACGGACAGTAAACATTTATCATTTTAATTTCCCATTAATTGAAAAAAGAAAAAACAATACTAAAGAAGAACAGAAGAAATAAATGACGAGAAAACCGGTTACTAGATACAAAGAGTTTAAGACGCAAATTAGAAAAGGGACACCACAGATTTGTGAATCAGTTAAAGGAAAAAAGGATTAATAACTTACAAGTATCAAAAAATCCTTTGTCACACGATTTTCCTCATCAACATTGTGGTCCAAGCTGTCACCACGGTTAGGACTGCAAAATTCGAGCAACTGATTAATGTTGCATTATGTTCGGTTGATAATTTTGGTTAATCCTCACAAGACATTGATAGTGCAGAAGAGAAAAGGACAAGGAAAAAAAGTACGTAAAATAGACTTAATTAGGAAGCACAGTTTTTAAGTGTGAGGCAAAACCTTCGACCAATCACAAATCGTACAATGATCCCTTTTTCTTCGAGCTTCTGTAAAGTATAACCTGAAAGCACAAAGAAATTCACGCTCATTAATAGTAAATTCAAGTTTACAATCTTCTAACTTCAATCACATCTAAAGATATATGTGCATTCAGTCTCCACATTGTAGACATAATAATTTAGTAGACATTACAAACTGCACATCAAATCCGCGGTAGTCTTGCTTTCACAATTAAAAGTAAATCTATCAGAAAAGGGAAATAAAAATGAGCTAGGTAACAGATTATTATCATTTGAAATTGTTCAAATTGTTCAAAGATAGAGCTGAAAATTAGGACCACTTGAATTTTATCAAAGAACAAATCCAATATTATAAGGTGTATGGACACACTAATAATCAATACAGTATCAGCTTAAAAACACTGTAATCAATCTAAGGATCACATGCAGAAATCAGGATTATACTGACCTTTTGATGTCATGGACCCTCTGAAAATATTGCGCCGCAACCGACTCCCAAAACCACTGTAAACTCCAATAACAGCAAGCAGTTTTTTACCCGAAGAGGAACCAGTCTGCTGCACTTGGCTCTTAAGGTAACCTTGACTCTTCGCTAGTGTT